ATTTTTATTAATACGGAGGAGATGGATTGTTTAAGTTTAGATTTTGGAGTTAGAGATATTAATATTTGTTTACTTGTATTTGAATATTAGCCTAGGTTGGTTTGGGAAGTCCGGGGGGTGGGGGGATGGGATATAACATTGTGTAATATCTGTGATGTATTTCTTTCTTTTTATGATAAAAACAATAAAATTTTATATAATCAATAAATAAATAAATAAATAATAAATAACAAATTTTCCAGTCCCAATTGCGGTCATAGGGCGAGGACTACTTGTACACTAAACTGGCTCTTGATTTTATAAAGAGACAAAATCTCAAACAACACATTGAAAAAGTAACCACTTTCACAAAGTCAAATAGTATGTTCTTCAAACATATGTTCAATATCAATAGGCTCAGACAACTTGGAACACCAATCTAAAGTTTACAAATTTAACCATCGCATTTAAACACTTTTGTTAAGCTTCTCCACATCCTACGATTTGTTATGACTATCACATCTACTACGTCACTTCTCCAGAAATGGAGACACTGTTTTATATAACTTAAGAAAAAAACATCTTACTTTTCTTTCAATTCTTCTGCTGTACCCTTATCAGGAAACATTGAAGAAATGGCTTCAAATATCTTATCAGAAGGAAACATCCGTGGCAGATGGCACTCTTTTTCTGTATAGAAACAAAGAGAAATATGTAAAGATGCAGCTCTTTAGCTAGGTGTCCAAAAGGAAATTATCTTGTTTGAATTTTAATTGCTTTTATCTTTTGCATTTTGCACTTTTTCCTGTAAAAAAATGTGCAACTTACAGTAAAATCACCTGAATTTACACTTTTAAAAACTACCAGGCAACTTTTAACACAGAATTAACAAATGAGCTTGCAAAGAGCAGCAATGGTATAATATCAGGAAAGCTGCCAGTTTATTTGTATTAAGTCGCCTACTCACACATGGCGACTCAAGGTGGCTTACAGGACATAACAACACAATATAAAAGAAATTAATAACAACCCCACACCCCAGCAACAACACACATTCATACCAGGCACTTAAAGGGCTCCATCCTGCTCTGGGTTCCCCAGGCCCACTGGCAGAACCACGTCTTTGGGGCCTTCCAAAAGAGTGTTAGAGTGGGGGCCAGTCTAATTTCGAGAGGGGTTATGTTCCAGAGGGAGGGAGCCACCACGGAGAAAGGCCCTTCTTCTGGGTCCTGCCAGATGTATCTCCTTAGGGGACGGGACACGCAACATTCCTTGCCTCCCCGGTCTAGTGGGTCGGGTAGATGTGACTGGCAAAAGACGGTCCTTCAGATAACCTGGTCCCAAGCCATGAAGGGCTTTAAAGGAGGCAACCAGCACCTTGAATTGCACCTGAAAGCAAACTGGCAACCAATGCAGCTCCCACAGGAGAGGTGATACATGTGCACACTGAGGTCTGCACAAAACCATGCGGGCTGCTGCATTTTGCACCAATTGGAGCTTCTGGATGCTTTTCAAGGGCAGCAGATTTAGCCCCAGCATCAGCTGAAACAAGCAAACTACAGAGCTAAAGCTACCAGACAATACTCAAGTTTGTTATTTAGGACAAGAGGTAGCTTCTCAGTAGGGATATGCAAAATGTCAGAATAATAATTTAACAGCTAAACAGCTTATGTAAAGATGTAATGCAGGGGTGTCAAACTGCCAGCCCGTGGGCCGGACGCGTCACAAGGAAACCGCGCCCACCCCATTGCCGGCAATGGGGAAAAAGCTCCGATACGTCGCACGACGTCACGTGACGTCGCGAGTTTGACATGTCTGATGTAATGTAATGTGGATGATGCAATGACAGGATGATGCAATATTAGGAATGACTCAGCAGGGTCTGTGTCTGTGCCTTTAAGAGGCTGAGTATAAAAGGGAATTTTTTTACTGGAGTTTTTCTCTCTCATCCGTTTGACTGCTGTAATTGCTGTATATTGGAGTTTGCTGAATTATCACATGTATTTTATTTCTAGTGTATATTTGTAGATAGTGTATGATAAACCACATTTAATTACAAACCACTGTTTACTGTATTTACTTCTGGGTTACCTCAGCGCAATAAGACTGCGCATGCTCTGACAGGTTATGGGCCCAGACTGAAGAGAAACCCAGTGAGAGTTTGAGCCAGAGGGGTTGAGGCTTGTGGTTTGTGGTGGTTTGTGGTGGTTTAAAGAAGCAGGCAACATGGCTTCCATCAGCATAATGGGAGGAGGTTTCGTAGTATCTCGGCTGAATGAGACTAACTACCTATCCTGGAGTCTGAAAATGAGATGTATCTGAGAAGGGAGGAGTTGTGGATGATAGTTGCTGATCCACCTGCAGCCCTGGATGATGGGGACCAAAGAAGGAATGAGATAGCACTGGCCAGTATAATCCTGAGTTTGGAGGATAGCCAGCTGATACATGTGAGGGGTCTCCAGTCTGCCAAGGAGTGCTGGGAAGCTTTGCGCAGTGTGTACACGAGAGAGACTGCGAGCAGCAAAGTAATGCTGACAAGAAAGCTATATAAAGCACAGCTGAAACTGGGAGACAGCATGTCTACACATTTGCAGTCCATGAGGAGGACGTTCCTAGAGTTAGAGGAAAGAGGAATGACTTTCACTGAGTCACATAAGGTGTTTGTGGTGCTCAGTTCATTGGACAATTCATGGGACGTCCTAGTGACCAGTTTAGAGGCCATGCAAGAGAAGGACTTGACCATGAGTTATTTGACTGGCTGGTTGCTGGAAGAGGAACAGAAACGTTTGGAAAAGCAGCAGAGAGGGGGTGATGACAACACACAGACCAAGCCTAGTACTGCTACGTCCCAGGGTGCTGGCAGAGTAGCTGAGAAAGTTTGCATGGTGAAACGCTGCTTCAAGTGTGGTTCTACAGAGCATCTCCAGAGACGCTTCCCTAAGAGGAGAAACAGAGGAGCAGCGAGACAAGGTCGTAGAGCTACACAACCAACATTTTCCCTGGCAGCGACATTAACAGAGAAAAACACTTGGTTGTTGGATAGTGGGGCGAGTCAGCATATCACAAATGATCCACAAATGTTTTCCAACTTGAGACCAGCTAAGCAATCATTTGTTAGCTTGGCTAATGGACAACAGTCTGCTGTTAAAGGGGAAGGTAAAATTTATGTACCTGGTATAGGAGAAATGGATAATGTATTATATGTACCAGAGTTAGACCATAATTTACTCAGTATTTCTAGCTTGGATAAAATGGGATATGAAGTAATGTTTGCAAAGGGTCAATACACCAGAAGGAAAGGTGGGAGGATTTGTGCACAGGGTGTTAAACAGGATAATTTGTATGTACTAAAAAGCAGCAGGATGGTTGTGCAGAAACACTCACAAATTCTCCCAAGCATGATAACTGTGTACATTTATTACACAGAAGGTGCTGCAGAGGATGCCAGACCTAGCTGAGGGATTTAAAATTAAGCAATGCAACACATACTTAGATTGTGCTATTTGCAAGGAGTCGAAGTCTAGTGTGTATCCTGTAAGTAAGAAAAGCACGAGGCAAACTAACAGGGTTTTACAGTTAGTGCACGCTGATTTAATTGGTCCTATGGCACCCTCTCTTGGAGGAGCTAGGTAAAAGCATTTGGTTTAACAGCTGTTTAGCTTTAAATGGGAAGAGTGTCAGGATAATTTAACAGCTAAGCAGCTTATGCAAAGATGTAATGTAATGTGGATGATGCAATGATAGGATGATGCAATATTAGGAATGATTCAGCAGGGTCTTTGTGCCTTTAAGAGGCTGAGTATAAAAGGGGAGTTTTTTACTGGAGTTTTTCTCTCTCATCCATTTGACTGCTGTAATTACTGTATATTGGAGTTTGCTAAATTATCACATGTATATTATTTCTAGTGTATATTTGTAGATAGTGTATGATAAACCACATTTAATTACAAACCACTGTTTACTGTATTTACTCCTGGGTTACCTCAGCGCAATAAGACGGTGCATGCTATGACACAAAATGTCCCATCCATTAACAGTTTCATGCATGGAACAGCTTGAGTGGTCCTAACACTCCTATTTTTGGTATTTTGGTCTTTGCATATGACAAAATTGGGCTATTTTGTATTGGGGCACTGACAAGGACTACAGGGAAGCAAGGAGAGAAGGTTTGTGGAAGTTTGGAGGGAGCTGACTGGCTAGTAAGATATCAATAATGGCAGCTGTAGAAAGAAAATGTAATGTTATTGTCCTTGGGAGATTGGGGGGGGGGTGTTGCCGCCAAGGGAACGGTCAGATAAGAGAGAGCATAGCCCACAGCTGCATAATGGGCAGAGAAATAGGCTCAGAAGTGACATCCCTAAGTTCTCAGGCTATAAAGGAGATGGTGGGAGATTTGTACTTTCAGACTTGCAAGATTCTGTTAATGTAAACTTACAATAAAGTAGAATTGGCTCATCTGGTTATGTTTTCTGTCTGGTCTACCTGGGAAGACTGAAATCTTGCAACTCTGAAAGTGCAAATCTCCTGCTGTCTCCTTTACGTCCTGAGAACGTGGGTGGGGGAGGTCCATTATGTAGCTGCAGGCTATGCCCTCTCTTATCTGTTTCCTAGGCAGCATCTCTTCTCACCCACCCACCCCAGTCTCCCAAGGTCATATCCCAAGGTCATTACCACATACCATTACAGAAAAGAGGAAAGATTCTGAGATGATTGTGGTGAGGAACAGCCTAGCCAGCCAAAACACAAACCTAATTTGAGTTAATTAATTACATTTAAATAGAATCAAAATTATACATTAAGTATAGTTAATATGATTTCCTGTATTAACTGGTCGAAGGGAGGTGTTTGGTAGGAGGCGGTCTTGCAAATACCTAGGTCCATTGCCATGGAGCGCTTTAAAAGTTGTTACTAACACCTTGAAGCGCACCCGGAAGGCCACCGGCAGCCAGTGCAGCTCGCGCAGGAGAGGTGTTACATGGGAGCATCTAGAGGCCCCCAAAATCCCCCGCGCAGCCGCATTCTGAA